TTATCTATATCCCTACCTTTCCATGTACTTTGCCACCAGCCATGCTAGGTGCTCATTGTTGTGTACCCTCAGGCTTAGCCCCTTCAACTGGTCAGCCATCCTCTATTCTGACTTGTCTTTCCTAAGTGTCAATTTTGTCATGTTCACATTTCTACTTATAAATAATTAATGGACCGAAGTTTACCGTGGCTTTTGAGATCCTCCAGCATCTATTTAAAACTATCCGATGATACTATATAACATAAGATATTGTACATGAGGTCCACCCCATCTATGTTGATCTACGTGTTACTCCCTGAATGTTTCTGGATCATTTAGGTGCCCCAGTTGATCTGGGATGATCCCCCTTTTCTGTTTTTTATTAAGCTATCGATCCCACCTTTTTTATATAAAAACGTTTTATTGCCCTTTATATAGCCTTCTTGATCATAAACCTCATGATGGCCATAACTGGTACAAATATATATTTGGTTTTGTTATTATCTTTCCAAATAAGTTACTTAATATCAGGAACTATGTCTTATCCTAAATGTATACCATATCATTTAAAGAATGATTTGCAAAATGCATACAATCAAAAAATTCCGATAAAAATTTACTTTACTGAGTTCTATCGATACTTTTAAAATTAATACTGCATGCATTTTCTTTGGAAATAGTTCACAGAGGACACATATTTATCATGGCTACATTTTTCAGTGTGTATATTTAAAACACTTTCTTACCTTTAATAATAATCTCTTGTGAGGATTCTGCATTCTGATGATCTAGCCCCAACTCAAATACAAAAAACATATTGTATTGATTAATTTTTTAGATATGCCATCATTTAAACAATAATGGGTCTTATATGAAATGAATCCATGTAACGTTATACCCTTCTTAATTTTCTTCAAAGTCATTATATCTGTTCCACAGACACAAGAAGAGTAAAACATCAAAAGCAGATTTTTCAGCATTAGTGAATGTTAGAGATATTATAACTTCAAACCCCAATCCTAAATAGATTTTTAAAATAAAAAGCTTAATATCATTTTTTTCCTAAATGAAATAAAGGCCCCATATCAATATCCACTTTCATTTCTTTGTGTCTGTATCGAAATACCAGAAATGACAGGAAGATTAACTGGACAGATATCAAATAAATTGTAGCTGTCCCATTTGTCTAAACACAGCTTTTGGCCTTAGGGAAGTATTTTCTTTTCTTTTGACACTTGGGCCCAAGATGAATCTGTTGGAGGTGGCCATGGGTCAGCAATGATCACAAGAAATTCCGGATTTTAAGTAACTATAAAGAAGTGTTTGAGAGGTGGCCTTAAATGTATGTAATTATCCATTAAGTTTTTCCTAATATTCACATGTAACATGGAGATCAGTAGAGCAATTCTAGCCTTTGGTAAATGTATTAAACTAGAGAATTATGTTTTTCTTTAATTAATTTTAGTACCTAAAATAGAGCAATGTTATCAAAACACCTATGAAAAATATGGTCCTGATTTATGTGTGAATTGATAGTTTGTACTGAATGAGAAAATAACCAAATATTGTAATATAAAAAACTTAGTTAACTTTAGCTAAATTTTATTTTGTTATAATTAATATGTTATTTATTACTCCCATGGGCAAATCAGTCCCTATATACTTAGTTATGTCTTTAACTTAAAGACATAAAAATGTATTTATATTAAATACAAATATACTCCAAAGTTAAACATGGGAATTATTTACACTATAATTGGTAGATACTTCTCAAACTCTCTGATATCCTTACATTCAATTTAAGGCAGTGAAGTCATTATGAAATTTTATATTGTTAATACCATCCTGTACCTTGTGTGCAATAAGCTCTGGGTGTCAGCCCTTTATTCTCATGTCTTCATATAATCAGTTTGGGAGAAACAGAAGGGAGCTTGATGAGCCTTTACCACTAGGAGTATACATTAAATAAGGTAGAGAACAGAGTATAACTATCAACAACATGTTTCATTTGTTTAGTGAAAATGCCTCTTAATTAAAAAATTTTTTATTGACTTCAGAGAGGAAGGGATATATATATAAACATCAGTGATGAGAAAGAATTGTTGATCAGCAGCCTCCTGCAAGTCCCCCCCAGATATTAAGTGCATAATCCAGGCATGTGCTCTGACTGGGAATTGAACTCAGGACCCTTCAATCCACAGGCTGAATCTCTTATCCACTGAACCAGACCAGCTAGGGCTGAAAATGCCTCTTGAGCAAACATATGTATTTGTTGATGCCATTGATAGAGCTCTTAAAGAATGTTTTGCAAAGTTCCTGATATTTTAGTTTTGTTTTGAATCTAGAAAATAGCCAGCCCTATGTTGGTGTGAGAAAGGGTGATGAAGGCAGAGGAAATAGTTGGAGCAAATGGCACAGGGATGGGAAAGTGGGAGTCAGTGGAAAAGGGGTAGAGATAATTCATCCGTTCTATACTGCAGATGCACTGGGAAGGGACAATTATAAATAAACTCAGAAAGGTAAGTTTCTTTCCATTAAAATGTGTGCAATAATTATTTAATTGGCCCAAAGAAATCCTCTTTGAATACTTTTGTGTAGGCAAGTGAAATTAAACAGTTTTAGAAAGGTATTCATAAAGTAGCTTGAGAAATGCTTCCATGAGAAGAGAGATAAAGAGAAAAAGAAATCTGGAACTTGATATGTTACTATCACAGATTAAGTAGCTCACATTCATTAAAGAGTATATGTATTAGGGGAAGTGTTGGAAATAAACAAAAATGCATAACTCATGTTATTTCAGAGGTTGTATCTTCAAGGTTTGAAAATTCATTAATGGTGACCAAAAGTAGAAATGTGAACAGTTTGTTTGTTTGCTTATTTATGGATGGGTAATGGGTTTGCACACAGAGAGTTTGAAATTAATTTTTTCAATCTAACTGAATATAAGTTGAGAGTTGAAAATTGGAGTATTAGCTCTTAGGGAAAATTCAAACTGAAGATCCAAGGAGAAAAGGTAATTGTTGTTATTAATAATGCCTTAAAGAAGAAAGTAAATGGAGGGGGGAAATGAGAAAGAAGAAAGCAATCACTATTTTCTTTTTCTTCCAACTATATTACCTTTTTTCTGCTTCCTTCTTTTCTCTTGGTAGGTATGTCCAAAACTCCCCCAAATTATAAAAACCCTGACCATGTGCCTAGAATTGATTGTTCCAAAAACTCCACCCACCTCTTTAGGTTCAGGCTTCTCATGAGGGAATTCTCAATTTTCTTCTGTAATTTGCCTCTGTTGACCTCATTACCCATAAACTAAGCTTCTACAAAGGAAATTAGTGACTTCTACATAGGAAAAGTCCTCTTCTGTGAATTCTCATTGGAATTAACATTGTTTAAACATAGCTATGTTACCTAATTAACCTAATTTCATTTTTTTTTTAATTTCATGTTCCTACTTCTATTGGTTGTTTCAGCTGACTCACTTCATATTGCCTTAGCATACTGTCTACTTATGTCAGAATGTGTAGTTAGGTTAAAAAGAGTTTTATTTCTAAAAATCTTGGGCAGTCTGATTTGATGATATAGATCTTCTGAAGGAGAATTATGTTTGCTTCAGTCACTTACCTATGAACCTTATATGTGACACTGCTTTATAGTTTAATTTTTCAGGTTGGGATTTCCCAGAGATCATCTTTATAGCTACATAAAGCTAAATTCCAAACATAGTCTATGGTGAAAAAGTGGTTAATCTATTTAAGGAGAAACATTTTTCCTCTACACATGCCAGAATTATGGGTTCCAAAAACACAATTCATCTCTTTAGGCTCTCATAAGGGAAATCTCAAATTTCTTAGCTTCTAGAATTTGCAAAAGACAACTTCCCTTGTCATCAAGCTTTTGCCAGTGGGCTGATTTATTCTTATCCTTCTTATAATATGAATTAACTTTATTCTGGTCCAGTGTTGCCTGGGGTTCTGTAGCATCCCCTTTTCTAGACAAGTTTTGATCTAATATCTGTGCAATATATGCATCTTTTGGTTGCTTTGATCTATAAATTCTTGACACATATTGTAGCTTTTAGAATTTTTCTTTGTCTTTTGTTTGTTAGTTGTTGTTGCTGTTGTTGTTTTGTTGTTGTTGCTTTTTACCAAGAGCTACATTACTTTGCCATGCATTTCTGAAAAAAAGAGATGGTCAGACAGGGTTTTAAGGAGTAGTTACACGCTCCTGTCCATCATTTTATTAGAAACTAGAGGCCCAGTGCATGCAATTCATGCATGGGTAGGGTTCCTAGTGGCTGCCAGTTGCTGGCCAGGGCCTCTCTTCCGTGCCACCTTCTGTTTGTCAGCACATATTTTAGTTTGTGATCAAACTCCTTGTCAATTGAACTCCCAAGAAATATATAAATTTCATTTTGGGTTAAAACAATTTCTAAATTCTTCATCTATTTTATTGAAAATTTTGGAAAAATTATTGACATCTCATCTATTTATTGCCATTGTTCTTATTTATCTTGTCAAAATAAAGGTTCACTCACTTTTCCCTATGCAGTGCTTTCTCTCTTCCCCATGTATGTCTCCTTTCATTGAAATATTTTAATAGGTACTCAAATTATAGTTAATTTATATTTTTAATGTTGTAATAACAGTATAGGATATACTTTTTGTAACAAGTTTCAAACTTGGGGCAAAATATTTCTCTAGCTTTTTCCTAATCAGGTAGTGCATATAATCCTAGCATATAATATGGAATAGCTGTTTGAGGGTGAATTTGCTCATTCATTGACAAACAAATTTCAAAATATTAGCGTGAATGAGTCCTTTATATGGTCTGGTTGTAGAAGTGCATAATAAAATGGAACATTTTGTTGTTAGATCATTTCTTACAAAACTTTCCTTTCTCTTTATGGGCAATAAAAATTGGGGTAAGTAATTGCTGTTTAAATAATGTGGTTATAGATTATGTAGTAAAATCTTAGCGTTCATGTTTAAAACCATAATTAATTGTTACTCAAATATTTCTTTCAGCTCTTCTTCAAGTGACAATTTCACTTAGCAAAGTAGAGCTTAGTGTGGGTGAATCTAAATTCTTCACATGTACAGGTATGTATTACAAATATTTTCAGGTAATTTATTTAATGCTTTAATTATTTAATATAATATATTCACAGAATTTAAGTTGTGCAAAACAATTCTCTAAAAATAAAGTCTTATTATTGGTCTTATAATAACTGGAAAAGTATCAATTGCTATATTTTTCATACTAAAAACTGAATTTTATTTCTGTTAACTTTATTAATTTTGGATGTCAAATTAGATAATTTATTTGGAAAATAATTTATAATCAAACATAATGCACACATATTGATCTAAATCAATTAAAATATTATACCTGTATAGATAGTAATGTTAGGGTGAATGTAAATATTATAACTAATCTTTATAAATATACATTGAATAAGTTAAATAGGTACACTGCATTATAGTTACACCTGCTGAAAATTTTAGAACAAAGCAAATCAAATTTATCCTTATAAAAAGTGATTTTAAAAAATAGTTATTTAATCAGGAAAAAATTTCAAGATTTTTGTGACTAATCAAAAGTATTAGAAGTCATAATGCTTATGGGAAATTATATGGATTTTTCAGTTTAATTGCACACATGCAGAACTTTTCAGAAGAGATTTAGATATTTAAATATCAAATTTTAATTCAGCACACTGTGAAATTCACAAATGAATACATTCTACTTATACTTAGTGTCATCATATTCATTTTATTCATAAAATCCTTATACTTAGTATTTTTAAAAAGAAAATTTTATTTTTAGTTTTAAAAAAAATTCACTTAGTGCCTAAATGGCTTTCTAGAGTATTTTCATATTTTTTCTATTTCTGTTTCTACTTAATCAATTGACAACTGGATTTAAATAGGATTCAAATGATATAAAGTGTATTATAAAGTTATCCTGAGAATGGCATGGCTTATTATTATAATAATTATTAAAAATATATAATCATAGTAACATGTATCAATCATATGTCCATAGTATATAAGCTACATATTATACTATTATATGTTATAACTACGTATACTATATATTTTAAATTATATCTATATAATAAAGATGTAATATGCAAATTGACCCTCATGCTGTTATAAGATGGCTGCACCTACAGTGGAGGCAGGGTTCTCATAACACAAGATGGCTGTGCCCACAGTGGAGGCGGGCATCCCATAATGAGTGATCAGCAGGGACCTGAGGCTATGTGGTGCCAGGCTGGGGCAGGAGACATGCGACTGCACCCCCGCCCAGCAGGATTTGACTAGGGACCTCAGACCATGCCTCCTGCCCCAGCATTGGGATGGAGGACCTCACCTGTGCCTCTAGCCCCGGCAGGGCTTGACAGGGGGTCTGAGGTTGTACCCCTGCCTGTGGGGACCTGATAGGGGTGGAGCCAGTTAGGTCTGGGTCTCACATGATTTCGAGGTGGGGGTGGGCAGGAACTTGACTTTGGGTCCTGCGGCATACCCCATACTCTGATAGTAGGAAGATTTTCTTATACATTTTACTAATTTTCTTTCATCTCTGGCACTACTATTATAAAGGGAAAATAGCAATATTAAAATATTTTCTCTTAATTCCCTTTTTATGTACATGAATTTTGTGCACTGGACCACTAGTTTATATTATATTATATTATATTATATTATATTATATTATATTATATGAATCATATTTATGAAAAAACTAATAAAGGCCATGAGTCTTTATACATTTGTCTTCAGAAAGCTTAGAATTGATAAGTGTATTGATACATATTTTTGTATATTGACAAATGAAAAGCAAGGGTGAAACTGATTTAAAATCACTTAGGTCATCAAATCATTGACATAAGCATGTAAGTCATTGTTTCTAAATCTCATCCATATTTTATATACACAAATGCACAGTTGTATCCAATAATCACAGAAAAGTGAAATAGCTTAAAATTAATTTTTAGAAATTTAAATAAATAGTATTTTATTCAATTTGCATAATATAATAACATAAATTATGTAATGTAATTGCCTCTGTCAAATGAAGATAAAATTTAACAGTATGAATTAACATAATTCAATGGTTCTGAGTTTTGCTCTAAATAATAAGGCAAACTAACTAAACATTTTTCTTTTTATATAAAGATCTATAACCAAGAATTATATTGTTATCATGGAAGTATCCTTATTTTTTGTTAAATATAGTAGTGGAACAAGAATCTAAAAATAAAGATGTGGGGAACCCATGCAAATTAGAAAGCTTGCAGGTATTTTTTCCTATACATTGGTGTCTATGGTGACGTAACTCTATAGTTTCATTGTACCCTAAAACACAGACACCTGGAACACAATAAATATATATTTCTGAAAGTTAGGGAAGTTAGAATGGAGTCAGATCCTCAGTGAACTAAGAATATGTCATATATAGCAAAATAAGTTTTATACTACATTTTTTTAAAAATAAAAAGTATCATTGTTTTTATTAATTTCTCCAGTCGGACACTCTTATTAAGAAAATAACCTGAAAAGTTTACTGAAATTTATTAATTACCAGAGATTCCAGAAAAAAGAATATGATGACCAATCCATAAAAATTCAGAGTAAACTCTCATAACATATTATTAATAAAATATATAAATTTTTACATAATATTATCTACATTTTACTGTCTAAAATGAGATTTTTGTATTGTTCAAACTTATGCTCATTTACACTATTTAGTGACATCTCCATGGAGTGGAAACTTGATGATAAAAAGCTGCCCCAAATGAGTTATCCTATAACTACTGTGGTATTGTGATGTGTTCAGAAAAAGAGAAAATAGCATAACTGAGATCCTCCCAAAGTGTAAACTTTCATGCTTTTGCTCTAGCATGTCTAATTTGATGTAGAAAGGATACTAATTTATTTCAAAAAAGGGACTTGTTGGGAGAAAAATAAGAAGGAACAATTTTCTTCAAAGAGGTCCTGCAGATGTGAGCTAACTTCATTCATTTTCCCGGATACTGTTGAATTAGTAGAGTATGCTGCTCCCACAAATTATCTCCCAATTAGGTGAAATACAGCATGTTTGTGACTGAAAGCGAACACGGGAATCTTCAGCTCTTACAAAGAGGATAATAACCTAGATACTGAATTGGAAAACTTAAATATATGTTTACCCTGTAATGTTTTGGTTATAATTGCCTAGAGGGATAAGTAGCATTTCAATGCATTCTAATTATCATATGACTAAATAGTTAACAGTTTTAGCTTAAAATTATGAAAGTACTGATTTGAGAAAAGAGATTAGGGCCTCATATTAAAATTTTTCATTGGTCCTATGTGTACAAATAGAAAGGCTTGGGATATTTATTCAAAATTTAGTATTACCAAAAACCCAAGTTTATTTTTCATGAGATATACATTTTTATGAACTCTGGTTTATCAGGCAAAAAAAGGTTCTAACTCTTTACCCTAACAAAGAGAACCAAAGAGGTAAAGTCATGTTAGTAATCATGTTTCTGTTCAGATTTATTTGTCAATAATCTATTTCTGACAGAATGGCCATGGCAGTTTTATGTTACCTAAGTGAAAATCCATAGATTACTATGGTAAGTATTCAGTTATCATTGCTTAAATTAAATATTATAGCTGCTGTTTCCTATAGAACTTTTGGGTTTTGCTTACGCAAATGGGATTGAATCTTCAACATTGGATAAATAAGAGAACATGTGTTCTAACATTTGTGTTTACTTTCAATTTGGTAAGATTTTCAGATTTCCAGTCTTCCCTATTTAATTTTTTTTTCAAAATGGTTTAAAACTGTTATGTAATAAGTAAATGTCAATGCAAAAACAAACACTTGAATCATATTTCCAAACATTTCTTTTCCATGATTCTTTGCAGCAATTGGTGAGCCTGAGAGTATAGACTGGTATAATCCTCAAGGAGAAAAGATAATTTCTACACAGAGGGTAATGGTACAAAAGGAGGGTGTCAGGTCACGATTAACCATCTACAATGCAAATATAGAAGATGCAGGGATATATCGTTGTCAAGCAACAGATGCCAAAGGACAGACACAAGAAGCTACAGTGGTTTTGGAAATTTACCGTAAGTCATGTATTAATTAGTTCATTAAAATTGTGGTTCAAAATTAAACATGAAATAACATGTGTCTAATAAAAACTAACAGGCATTAAGAACTATTGGATGAGGCAGTGTTCTTTAGACCTTTACAGATAGCAGCTTATTTTTTTTTTTTACCATACTGCATCTCTAAAATAGGATAAAGAAAATAGTTAATCATAAATGTATAGGTGAAGCCAATTATGTCGGTTAAATAATATACATGAAAATGTTTACATTTTCTCAGGCCATTAAAAATCTACTGGGTAAATAAAAAACAGTAGTTCATTAAATGGCATGAAATATATGGAGTGCTTTTTCACTCTAAAATAAAAGGTTATCGTTAGAACCTGTGAAATGGCCTCTGTGAAAGCAGTTTCGGATGGAATGAGAACTGGGGAGGAGTCAGTGAACAGGAGCAGACAGAGGAAAAGCTGAAGTTCATCTAGTGGATATGGGTATCCAGCTGGCTTCTTCACCACCAGGCCGTTTGTAAACAAGCATCTCCATGCTTACACTTCATTTTATGATTTGAAATCCATCACTGATTTCCTCTTCTTACTCTTAGAAATCATTACCTTCATTAAGAACACTGTGGACTATCTGGGTTCGAAACCAGGCTGTATCACTTCATTTAGTGGTCTTAAGCTGTCACCTAACCCAGTGGACAGCAAAATCATTTATAGATGAGAGAGCCAAGTATCAACAGTACAACGATTGAAAATTTTTTGAGAGCCACATTTTTTAATCTTAAACTTCTTCAACGTCACTTCTTCAAAATAGACTCGCCCAGGCCGTGGTATTTTGTGGAAGAGCCACACTCAAGGGACCAAAGAGCCATATGTGGTTCGAGAGCCACAGTTTGTTGACTACAGACCTAACTCATCTGTCTTTAGTTTTTTCACTATTAAATGGATAAAATAATAGTACCTACCTTATACATAGATTTTTTTGAGGACTATATTAATATTAAATAAGGAACGTAGAACAATGCCTTATAATTAATATGGTAGTTAGCATTTCTACCAGTGGGAAAAAAAAATTATAAAGATTTTTGAATACAATATATAAGATATATCTTCTTAAAACTTGGTTTTTTATTATTCAAGGAGAAGGGTATTTTAAAAAGCCAAAGTATATCCCCAGCATGGCTTCCTCTTTGGTGAGCAGGGGGGGATTGTTGGCACATTTCTTGATTTGGCTTCCCCGACCCCATTAGTTTTTAAACTCATATTTGGAAAGATTTTTCTTTAAAAAAATATTGTTGAAAGTATTACACTGGTCCTCCTTTCCCCCACCCTTAACCACTTTCAGCCCTCTCCCAAGTCCTAAGGTCCTTACTATTCCATTGTCTGTGTCCACAGGTTTTGCATATATGCATACAAGTCAGACAGAGTTTTCTTACTTTAAATATTGCAAAGGAAAATCCAATATTTTATTTGTGAAAATAAATCTTGTTTTTCCCCCTTGGCAAGAACACTGAATTACTTTTGTGAACATTTCTCATCAAGCATACATAGCCTGTTCATTCACTAGTTGGACACATTTATTGGATGTCTCCAACTTGGCAGACAACATTCTAAGTTCTAGAGACTCAGTAATGATTAAAACAGGAGGTGTCACCAACCAGTAAGTGCTGATATTTTAGTAAGTAATCTTTGAAAAAATGCAAGGATGCAACTATCCATGTTATAGAACAGTGAGAGTGGGAAGGCAGATGATCTTTTTTGTTATGTTTTGTTTTGTTTTTTTATCTGTGGAGGTCAGGCAGACAGAAATATGAATGAATTTAAGACATGCAAATGCAGAATGTGGAAGGAATTGAAAAGATGACAATTTACCTGGAGCACAGAGCACAGGAAGAGAGAAAAACTGGGATTATAGTTGTGGGGCAGACTTCAGTTCATAAAGGACCTGAAATAGGAATATAAGGATTTCGGAATTTCTTCTCACGATGTGAGAAGAAGTTACTGGCAGAGGAGTCATATGATCTGATTTAAAGTTTTTGAGCATCCTGTTTTAATTAATTATTTCATTATCACATCAATCAACACAGATTTTGAAACGGGTTATTGAGAGAAATAAGCGATAATACTTTTATGGTTTGTTTTGCTTTCTTGCTACAGAAAAGCTCACTTTCAGAGAAGTGGTATCGCCTCAAGAATTCAAGCAGGGAGAGGATGCAGAAGTGGTTTGCCGAGTTAGCAGCTCACCTGCACCTGTCGTCAGCTGGTTGTATCATAATGAGGAAGTCACCGCTATTTCCGACAGTTAGTATTTTGGTAACTCCCTATGTTATATGTTCTAATAATAGTGCCATTTTTTAAAAGATTGAATCTACCTGACCAAATGAAAAAGTTGGAAATTTCTTTAAATATATTTTTTATTGATTTCAGAGAGAAAGAGAGAGGGAGAGAGATAGAAACATCAATGATGAGAGAGAATCACTGATTGGCTGCATCCTACAAGACCTCTACTGGGGATTGAGCCCACAACCCAGACATTTGCCCTTGACTGGCATGGAACCTGGGACCCTTCCGTCTGTAGGCCAACTCTATATCCACTCACTGAGCAAAACCAGCTAGGCAATAGAAGTTGGAATTTGTAGCCCTAAGGGTCAATTGACTATTTTGAGAAACTTAAAGCAATATATCAAGGGTGGGCAAACTATGGACTTTAGGAAAAATTCAGCTCTTTTCTGTTTTGTAAGGTGTTATAAGAGTATAGATATGCCTAATTGTTACATATTACATACTAGAGGCCTGGTGCACAAAATCTGTGCACTTGTGGGGGGAATCCCTCAGCCCAGCCTGCACCCTCTCCCAGCCCAGGAGCCCTGGGGTGATGTCTGACTGCAGCTGAGGTGGAAGAGGTGTTGTGGAGGTTGAAGAGGGTCTAGCCAGTCATAGCCAGTCTTCTGTGGGAGCACACTGGCCACCATGGGGCTGCTCTTGCAGTGAGGGTCTGCCCCTTGATGGTCATTGCACATCATTGCAACTGGTTGTTCTACCATTCGGTCAATTTGCATATTAGGCTTTTATTATATAGGATGACTGTTTTGAGCAGTTGTGACACAGGTGGTTTGGCCTACAAAGCCTACTATAGTTGTCATCAGGAGATTTACAGAAGAGGTTGCTGGCCCCTGCTCTGTTCAAGAAAAAAATCGACATTCTAACATTACAAGGATACAAAGTAAATTAAAGAATTTATCCTGATGCATTCAAATTCCATATACTGTCATTCTAACATGATTCCTTGGGCTCATTATACTTAAATTGAAAGTAATATCTATATGAATCCTGTTTATTATTCTGGCACTGTACTTTCCAAGCCACCTACGTGTTTTAAATATTATGGTAAGATGCATATGGATAATAAGAAGAAAAGTACATGCATTCAAATTGTCTTTAAGATTTTGATTCAGACTGAGCTAAAAATCTAGATTAATATGACATCTGATATTGAAAGCATAATTTGCTTACATTATGCTGCTTTACCACTATGCATTGGGAACATTTTCAATTTAGAATAGTTTTCAATGCACCTGCATTTCAGAGAGATACAAAATAATAGAATCTTTTAAAATACATTCCCTCTTGGATGGTTTTGTTTTGTGATTCTGAGATTGGAAACTTTTACAACATAAAGGGAAGAAAGCCGAATATCTGTTTTTGAATATAAACAGAGAATGTATCATAATTATTTATTAATCATTTTTTTAAATTTGAAAAAAATTGGACTTGACATTTTTAAAAAGCTGACTAAAACTCTTCTATTATAATGTCAGTGAAAAATAATACTTTATTTCCTCTTATTTTATTTTAGGATAATTGCTTCAGATTGTATTAACAAGCTACAAGAATAAATTAGGCAATATATTTTTTAGGTTTTTACCTCCCAAAAATAAAGAAATGGTATCTCTTTTGTAATAGTTAAATGACAATGTCTAAACATTTTCAGGTTGACTAATTTAGGACTTCAAAGATGCATCTGGTTTATTGTAAACCTTCATTGTAAAACTATTTTAAAAAGATGCATAGAACAAAAGCCTTGAAGCAATGACTGATTGTCAAGTGTAGTGTGATGGAGTAGTGATATCTCTAGGCTAAATCTTACACTTTTTTCCTGGATCCCAGGATGGAATTTCATTATGGCAAAACTGTTATTTATAGTTTTTGCCCTAAAGCTTAGAACAACTTTTCTAACTGGTCTGTACCTAATTCAGATTCTTCATCTGTAAACCCTGGGCTATTCTATCCACTTTAAATAAGACACTGGGCATACAATAAATATTTATTAAATGAAAGAACAAAATATTTGTCACTATCTTCATTTCTCAATAAATGACATTATTTTTCTCATTCCTTCTCATTGATGTTTTAAATCTTGGGGATCAATTTTACCAAGATTATGTGCATTCATATTATATCAAAAATCTGAATATCCAGTTTGGATGAAGTTCTTAAACTAGATTTAAAAATGAAATGTTACATTAGTTGTATGATAGGAAAATGACAAATTTTTTAAGGAAAAAGGATGTAATGTTGTTTTCACTGGAGGGCATAAAGGATGTAGATGAATTGTGAGAAAGGACATACTTTTATATCTCTTAATATTAGAGGATATAAAGAGATATAAAAGATATATTATATATCTTAATATCAGAGGATATCCACAACATCTATTATCCAGCAATGTGTGTGATCATAATGAATTTTCAAGAAGTAATATTCTCCATCTGGTTATACCTCATGTGGTCTCTTTATTAAATCGACTGAAATAAGATTAGACTCACAACTACCCTGTTTCCCCGAAAATAAGACAGTGTCTTATATTAATTTTTGCTCCCAAAGATGTGCTAGGTCTTATTTTCAGGGGGTGTCTTATTTTTCCATGAAGAAGAATATGGTACACATTTATTGTTAAATGAAAATAAAGAAAATTTATTACCTGTATATGGTACAGTAGAATGATAGTTGTCAACACAAACCAGACAAAGTGTGAATCCTACAGTGTCAAGAATTTACTCATTTATTCAATGACAATCATGTCATCATCTTCTGGAACATCATCATAACAATCCAATTCCTGAATTTCCTGGTGAATTTCTTGTGACTCCATTTCTTTCAGAATCAGTGGACCAAATCTCTCATGTTTATCCTAGGGGGCCTTATTTTCGGGGGGGGGGGCTGCCTTATATTTCACTCAGAAGGAAACCTGTAAGTAGGTCTTACTTTCGGAGGATGTCTTATTTTCGGGGGAAACACGGTATGAAAGGGACAGGTATGGGGATTTCAAATAATGTAATGTGCTCAGGTAACTTCCTGGAGTTTTAGGTCTAGAGTCTCCAGATGCAACAATGAAGGCTTGGAAATGTCCAACTCCTTAGCTGTGCTATTGGTAGGAGGTGTGTGGCAAATACTCAGAGTTAAAGTTCTAACAGAGTATTTGAAGTGGACTTTCCCATGTTGCTTGTTGAAAGGAGATTCATATGCTAACGAATCCTAGCACTTAGGGAATAAAGGTGACATTTTTGTTATAAAAGTTTAATATCCGGACAATCATTGTCACTCTAATAGAGTAAAACAATTAGATTATCTGGTTTAAGGTTTTCAATAATCTAGATTTAGCTAAGTATTTTATTATAGCATAATTAATGCAGATTCTGAAATATGTTATTGAAGGAAGTAAGCAACAATTCCTTTATCTTGGTTTTACTGTTTTGATACAGAAAAACTGGGCTATTGCTGATGCCCATTCAACCTCAGTCAGTTTGAAAGTTATCTCTGAAACTTCCTAAATATTTTGATTATTGCCTAACAAAGTGCCCTTTCTGCATCATAAACTACAGATAAAGTCATACTGTTCAATAAAACTTTTATGTATGTTACTTCCTGTATAAGATTCATTCAACAGTTATTGAACACCTAGTCTTCAAAAATTAGTATGCTAAACGGTGGTTACTGATGGTTAACAACGTAAAAAATTTCACTGGCTTCAAAATACTAATAATAGATTAAAAAATAAATAGATAATTCAGTGAAAACAAGGTATGCTGCTATGATAAGTAAAGTGCAATGACAGATAAAAAGCAAAAACAAAACACCTGAACTAGTTAAAGCAGAGAAGGGTTTCCAAGATGCCTACAGAGAGAGATGTGACCTTTAAATATGAACAAGTAAAAAGTAGTGGAGAGAAAACAATATGCAATGGTCCAGTGGTGAAAGACAGCATGAAGGGAACTTTTCAGAAACCAGAATATTTTCATTACATATTCTAGAATTTGTAAATAAGTACAGCTAGAATACCTATTCTGATAAAGATAAGGTATTATTTGTTAATGAAGGACTAATAAGAAAGGAAGCTGGAAAGGTTATGCCAAATCAACACAAACATTGACATATTGGCTAAGGAATTTGGAATTTTTCCAAAGGAGACATCACTGAAGGATTTAAATCAAGGCAGTGACATGAGCTGACATATTTTTGAGAAGATTATTAGTGCTTCAGTGAGGAAAATGAATTGGCTTGGAGTCAAGGAAAAACTAGGTTCTGAGAACAATTCAAATCCTAATGAAATACTGCTGCAGGGAGAAGGAGATTGAGACTAAGAATGATAAAGGGAGGTAGGTGTAAGAGGACATGGGATTTGATTGATATGCAAACTGAGGGAAATGGAAAAGTCAAGGTGGATATAAGAAATTTCACTTGAGCAAATAGTTCCATGACTTATAATATCTACCTTGGGCAATTAGTTCAATGTAAAGACATTTGAAGACAGAGCTGGAGAGTACCATATGATAAATTTCAGGTGGCAGTAGTGAGCTAAATTTTAAAAATGGATGAGATTGAAGTACTTTCAAATATACTCATTAGGTACATATGATAGAATGTTAAACAGTTATGAAATTGACATATGGTCTAGTCTGAGGAAAAGGTGCGTCTCAAAATATAGATGGTAATTGAGGTCAGATGAGTAGATGAGACAAGCCATCAATGGCTGTGGGATGAAAAGTAAAGAGGACTTAGTAAAGAATCTACTTAAAGAAACCCAAAACAGATACCTTATTGGGTATTATCTCATTTCATTTAAATTTCTTATAGCAATAATATAAATTTGGGTTTCTGTATAATTGAGAAAAACAATTTATAACAGTTATTGCTTCTAATATCCATAGTTAATGTGTGTGATTAATTGAAGCAATGCTTTCCTTAAATATTTCTGCAAACATCCTATCTAATAAAAAAGTAATATGTAAATTAACCATCAATCCACTACACCCACAAACCATGGCCACCATCCAATCAGGAGTGAGTATGCAAATTAACCCAAGATGGGTGTGGCTTTCCACACACCCTGGCTGACCCAGGCCTCTACTCAAGACTACAAAGTTTCAATTATAGGAGATAAATAAATCCCAGATACCAGGTCCTCCGTTTGGGTCCTCCGTTTATATGGCCGGCCTACAAACCACCACAGGGCCTTGCCCAGGCCACACCATGCCCCAAAGGAACCCTCATTCTGATCCAGGACACCTTTCAGAGCAAACCAGCTGACCCCTACCCATGCACCAGACCTCTATTCTATCTAATAAAAGAGTAATATGCAGATTGACCATCACTCCAACACACAAGATGGCTGCCCCTATGTGGACACATGATGGTTGCCACAGGATGGCCAACAGGAGATGACAATTGGGAGAGATCAGGCCTGCAAGGGAAGGCAGTTGTGGGAAATCAGGCCAGCAGGGGAAGGCAGAAGAAAGGGACCAGGCCTGCAAGGGAGAGCAGTTGGGGGCGATCAAGCCTACAGGAGAGGGCAGTTTGGGTGACCAGGCTGGCAGAGGAGGGAAGTTGGGGACAACAGAGCCTCAGGAAAGGGCAGTTGGGAGGACCCAGGCCTGCAGGGGAGAGCAGTTGCTGGGGGACCAGGCCTGCATGGGAGGACAGTTAAGGACAAACACACTGGCAGGGGGCAGTTTGGCATCAATCAAGCTGGCAGGGGAGTGGTTAGTGGGAAATTAGGCTGGCTGGCAGAAGCGGTTATGGGCATTCAGGAAGTCAGGCAGACAAGCAGCTGGGAGCCAGCAGTCCTCGATTGTGAGAGGGCTGTCTGACTGCCTGGTAGGATTGGGCCTAAATGGGCAGTCTGACGTCCCTTTAGGGGTCCCAGATTAGAGAGGGTACAGGATGGGCTGAGGGACACCCCCACCCCATGCACAATTTTTGGCACTGGGTCTCTAGTATAGTAATGATCTACTTCGGTTTAATAGTTTCGTGACACCATTTCATAGGTACGTTACACACATAGTTACACTTTGACATCCAATTTTCATGTAGTATGCTTTCTGGATGGAAAAATTATATGTAATTAAACATATATAGCAGTATGTATTCAGATTTAAAAGATAATAACTAGTTTCCTAGCATTCAAAGTTTTGTCTCAGATAGTAGAAATGATCTATGAAGAGGTAATTTGAAATAAAATTTTTCAGTTGGAAGGAACACTTATTTATCTCCATTAAAATATGTATTTTGTAGATTCTCACTCTTCTTTCTCTGTTTAAATCAAGCATTGCTTTTCTCATTAAAATAATGCTTTCCCTTACTATTTTTCTTAATAAAATCAAATCATTAAATAACATTATAGTTAAAAGATTATATTTTAATAAGTTAGAATATATAGTAATAATATCACAATGATCTAGGAAAGATTAGTGCATCTCTCTCTCTAAATTCATTTTAATATCCAGCCACATGCTGGAATCAAGGATCTATTAGTTGACTTTCAAACATCATGAATTTTTAGGAGTTCTGAGTTACTCCAGGATTTATTGAAAGTCATTCTTTAAAATTTCTTGCAGATTGACTTTCTTTCTCTCTAATATTTTTTTAATGAGAATATTCACCAGGGAAAAACATCTGCATAAATGCTCTTTTTTTCTCTCTTCCTGGAGTCAAACATTAATTTTCTCCTGGCCTGAAAACATTGTCTTTATAATCAATATTGTTTTTCTTTGAGGGAGCCCCTGAACCAATACATTTCCATTTTATATTAATTACGTACTTCTTATGTACCTGTTTCAGTCAACTCATATAGTCTGATCACTGCCCTATTTGTAATTATATCCCAAACTTCTTCTCTTGCATTAAAGATTTGCTATGGAAAATGAACCCCAAATCTGAGTTAAATCCTAAATCACTTATTACTATAGCTGTTTAATTCTCACTTATGCAAAGTCCAAGTGGCATCATGGGTACATTCAGTAAGTAATGCATCCATTCAGGATCCCCATACAGGGCTGATTCCTAATTTGGATGCATTACTTTACTCTTTTCTCACTTGGCTTCCAAGTTTGCCCTCATTTCCTAATCAAGCCATCAGGCAGGGGAAGATCAGTCACTATTGGAATAGCTCCCCCAAAAAAGTGACCTTTAGCAGTTTAACAGGCAATATCCTAGAGGTGCACACCTTAAAATAATAGCATTGTCTACTTTACCAAGAGGCCCCATGATGTTCAAATGTCTCTCTCTTTTTCACCAAGGTATCTCATTTATAGTACCAACAAATGGATGATGTTAATGCTATCTATATATGCATTAATGACATTTAGGTTATTGCTCTTACATGTTTCAAAGTAGGACTAGATATCATAATACTCTTAAATTAGTAAGAAGGGGCGAGGTCTTCACACTGCAACAAAATTGTGATGATTAAAAACTGAAGCCAGATCTGTAAAGTACTGTCAGGCTGAGATGCTGCTAAGGATAGCCAGATTATTTTAAGCAATCCTTAATGCATGCTCTATAATAGCCTATTTATACATGAATGCATGTGCACACAATACACATATAAAGGAACCTTAAAATAATATTAATGAAGTCTAATCTATTCAGTCCTAAAATGGATTATCTTGCATTTAGAAAAAAAATATCCTTCAAGTAAATTCAAGATATGACCATTTGACAGGTCCTCTATGTGACTTGAATATTAATATGTCATTTAGCTGCCTCCTCAGGGTCTGCAAAATTATTCCTTTAATTATTGTGTGAGGAAGGATATTCAATCAATTTTCTAACTGTTTTCCATACCCAAGTTGCTTCATTCAGTATTTGCAGTCAAAACGTTTTCATGTTTGCAATATCTAATCTGCCCACATTGTTCTTTTGTGGATAGTTTCTGCATTCAAAGTACCGAGGGGGAAAATAATAGCCTAACCATTTTATGTGGAAATAAAATCCTGACTGTATTTTAGAGGAAAGGTGTAACAAGGCAGTGTGGAGTGGAAAAAAAATTGAAGTCACAAAATTACATTTTACTTTCAAATTTGAATTTGTTTGTTGATGAAATGTTCTATGGTGTCAGACAAGTGCTGTATTTTTAACTCTTAGCAATTTCGAGCACACTGGACTCTTGCCTTCTGTTACTGAAATAATTTCCTCCCTTCGCTTACTTTCCAGATCGGTTCGCTCTGTTAGCCAACAATAATCTGCAGATTCTCAGCATCAATAAAAGTGATGAAGGCATATATAGATGTGAAGGAAGAGTGGAGGCGAGGGGTGAAATCGACTTCCGTGATATCATCGTGATTGTCAATGGTAAGCAGAGAATAATTTGTACGTATTGTATTGCTTTGTTTTAGCAACATGTCTGTTAAGAAGGCTACCATGTAAACTCAATGCTCAAGAATTCTGTAATAAACTTCTCTGCCTGGAGAAAATGTCCTGAACTCAAGGATAGCATCTGGTATATGTATTATATGCTCAAGGACAGGATCCACGCCTAATTGAACACCATCACCCCTCTCCTGAAGGGTCTCTGGGAAAATAGTTGCCGTTGCTGACACTGTAGTTGTTGAAAGAATTCCAGATGAAACATCCTTCCTTTATTTTATTTTGATAGCACATGAAATACTTGTTGCCATTGCTTATACTAATCCATTTGACAGTCTTTGCAGGCTATCTCAAATTGAATAACTGAATCTATAAGCTTACCCTTTCAAGTATTAATGGACCTTAAAAACTAAGTTTCTGGCATTAATGATGGCATCCAGAATTGGTTTCTCCTGTTACATTCCCTGCCTGCATTACTGTGACATTCTCTGAGAACAACAGATGTATTTATGTTATAATACTTGAAATCTAATCTCTTATCAAGGCATGGCCTTGTATTCCTTTCACATCTCAAATATACTTTTGTCTCCATAATCATGCCTTTCAACAGCTCTGCCTTTTCCATTTTTTCTCCCCTTGAATTGATACAAATTTTTTCTCTACTCTCGGCCTCACATTTCCAACTACTTCTCCATCAAATCTTTCAACACTTAAAATGTGCATGTGTTTCCCATTATTTTCAAGGGGAAAATCAAAGCCACTTTTCTTGACATCGGAAGTTTTTTATGGTCCAGTCCCATCTCCCTAAGCTTTCAGCCATGAGCAAGCTGTGGTTCAGCCATATAGCAATACTGCAAGCATCCCACCCCAGATGCTTGGTGTCTCTGTATGCAAATTAACCTTCCATCTTTGTTGGGTTAATTTGCATACTCACTCCTGATTGGCTGGTGGGCATCACGAATGTATGGTCAACTTGCATGTTTCTCTTTTATTAGTGTAGACAAGATATGGATTAAAGAGTTAGCTACTTCCCAAGAATTAGGGAAGAGACTGGGAAAAATAAGAGCATCTACTTCCATAACTTTTCCTCCTCCACCCTCAGTTATTTCTGGTTTCTTAGAGAGAGTGAGAGCCCTACAATTTTCATATAGATCTAAATGAGTTACTTTGGTCTGTCCTTTTCTGGAACCAAGGTAGTTTAACCAAATATTATACTCATAGAGAAAGAAAATAGTGACTAACTGCTATTTTTTATCCTTCTCCATAATTAAATGGGCTTTGTGAATAGTAATGGAATGGAATGGTACATGTGTTGTTGAGAATGGAATACAAGCAAGCTGGTAGAAACTGCACATGATCCTGGGGGGAACCAAAGCACCAGCCTTCAGAGGAGATCTAGCTTTTCAGGCTGTTTTAGGCATGCAGCCTGGAAAGACTATTTATTAAGAGTACTTCAGACTGTAATGGTTTTGACTTTAAATATAACAGGAATAATTCAATGTGTGAAAATAGTTTTAAATATGGAGTTGTGTATCTATAGCTATATCTATCAGGACCTCTAATTTTTTTATTATTATTATAATACTAGAGGCCTGATGCACGAAATTCATGCAAGAGTAGGCCTTCCTTCCCTGGGCAGCTGGCACTGGCTTCCCTTTGGCACCCGGGACCTGGACTTCTCTCACAGAGGGAGGCCCTGCCCAATTGCCACAGTCCACTGCTGGTCAGTGGCCTGGGCCTCTCTCTTTGGGCGATTGTGGAGCACCCCAATTGATTGCCCCACCAGCTGGTGGCCTAGGCCTCCCTCTGTGGGACAATCATTGGGGGCGATGGCCGAGCTCCCGACCAATCACATCGCATCTTCCTTGGCTGGCCTGGCACCAGTGGGTGTCATAATATGGTCCGGGATGGTCATCCACATGGTCGTCCAGATGGTCTCTCTGCTGTTCAGCTTATTTGCATATTACATTTTTATTATATAGGATAATAAACAAAACTGACTTACAGTAGCTATTTACTTTGTTTATTATTGCCTTAATTATTATTGTTATTTATTATTTCTTATCTACTGTACTTTATTTTCAAAAGAATTGTAGGTGGCATATATAAGTGTATTATGTCATGGACAAATACTTGTACTCAATATTCTCTTATAAAAGTGGGGGTTATGATATTAATTTATATATAGATATACACTGAGTGGCCAGATTATTATGATCTCTCAATGCATAATAATCTGTCCACTCAGTGTACTTCTCTTGAGCACCTCATTTATTTGACAACAAAGATACTATAAATTATGCACCTGATCAGTTTTCCCCTTTGCACTGGCTGTTGGAAAGCTCGGGGCAAATAGGTGGTTGATCTCTAGCAAAAGTCTAGAATACTTTTGGTACCCATTTGAGATACAAATACACTAAGTGGCCCAATTATTATGCATTCAGAGATCATTATAAACTGGCCACTCTGTGTGTAGTATATATGTGTGTGTGTGTGTGTGTGTGTGTGTGTGTGTGTGTATATATATATATATATATATATATATATATATATATAGTTTTTTTAAGTGCTAAGTTTAATATATTAGTAGTAAATATTTGCTACTAATATGGTTCACATGTATATAAAAATTAAATTATGAACATCTCTTTTACTACATTAAAACATTAACTTGAGCCTGACTTAAGAAGGAAATATCATTTGGTAAACATAGCATGTTAACCACTTGTATCCATTCTGCGATTATAATTTCTATTTTAAAATATTTATAATATGTTCTCATCTGTTTCCATAGATTGCCTGTGTTTGTATATTTATAATTACATTTATTTTGAAGTGTTAGTAGGATATCAGTCCATCCATTAACAAAGTTTGATTCATCAAACCTTCCCTGGTCTCCATTCAATCTGGATTGAGTTAGTTCTACATGTTTTTATTATTATTATTATTATTATTATTATTATTGTTATTGTTATTATTTCAGGGTTCACATGAGATAAACACTGGACTGTGTTCTCTAAAGTCGCTCAGATCAAACATGTAGGTTACGTTCTTTCTGTCTTGGACACCCTGACCTTCCCCAAAACAAAACATTCCCCTCCACATCTCAGTTTCCCCCAACAGAATCAATGAGAGGAGAACTTCATCTGACCTCTGCTTGAACATTGCTTCATCTCCAGTACTAATTAGTCTCATTTTGCCTTTATAATCACAAGCTCTCATGCCTTAGAATTATTTTTTTTTCAAAATAGCAGTTTTAATAATATCAACCATCGATTTATTCCTCTTCTGGAAGAAGCAGTTGGACCGTGCCAAGGGACTGCAATGACTGGTGCCCCCAGACATGTGTGCTTTCCCTCACAGGCTGCCTTTACCTCAGCAGAAAAGTATTCTGCTCCAATTTTATTGACTCTCCTGATAACTGGCGCCTTTTAAATCTTGAGCTCTCTTTAATCAGATTCCTGTATTTGTCTTTCTTGCAAAAACTCTTGAAGATGTGCCCCTGAAAAGATTGAGGCTGCAAACATTAAAGCAATACATTTACCCACAATGCCTTATTTTTCTTGTTACACAATTTGATTCATTCTATGCCCGTCTTCCCAACATACATTGCAAGTCTTCTCTCTTATTGCATCTGATCGTTTTTTTTTTCTAAAAACGGGACAATGTTATTCTATATTACATGATTAATGGGGAAAATCTTCTCAGGACTGACAATATAAACAACAGTATGGCATGTTATAGTCTACGTCTAATTGCACATAATTGCTACAATTTAAAACAAAGTTTCATTTAGGTTTACAGAGACAGAGTCCATACATGGCCCATTTAATAATAGCAGCTGATATTTGCTGAGCCCTCATTTTGTAACAGAAGGTTTGACTTTGGGTGGTGGGCACATAATGAAAGGCGTGTATTCACTTCACAACATATTCCTTTTAATCCCCGAATAAAAAGAAGGCAGGGTTTTACCATGATTTGCAACAAGTCCCCCAACTGAACTCATCTGTCCCCTAGATGGCAGATTCCTGATAGCCATGTGGAGATCAGGTTTTTGTTGTTTTGTTTATTTGTTTGTTTGTTTGTTGTGTGTGTGTGTATGTGTGTGTGTGTGTGTGTGTGTGTGTGTGTTTTCCCCCTCTAACAATTGGTTAATATGTTCAGAAGGGAATCCTATAATTTACTAGAGGCCCGGTGCATATAATTAGTGCCCAGGGATGGGGTGTGCCTCAGCCCAGCCTGCACCGTCTCCAATCTGGGACCCCTTGAGGGATGTCTGACTGTCCATTTAGGCCTGACCTCAGACATTACTCTCACAATCCAGGACTCCTGGCTCTCAACTGCTCGCCTGCCTGCCATCCTGATTGCCCCTAATTGCTTCTGCCTGCCAGCCTGATCATTCCCTAATTACTCCCCTGCCAGTCTGATTGATGCCTAACTGCTCCCCTGCCAGCCTGTTTACCCCTAATTACCTTCTCCTACATGCCTGGTCACCCCTAACTGCCCTCCCTGCAGACCTGGTCCCTCCCAACTGCCCTCCCCTGCTGGCCATCTTGTGGCTGCAATATTGTATTCACATGGGGACAGCCATCTTGTGTGTTGGAGTGACAGTCAATTTACATATTATTCTTTTATTATATAGGAGAATTAGATAGAATTGAGGCCTGGTGCACAGGTTGGGGACAGCTGGTTTGCCCTGAAGGATGTCCCAGGTCAGGGTGAGGGTTCCCTTCGGTTGTAGGGTGGCATGGGTGAGGGGTCTGTGATGGTTCGCAGGCCAGCCACTCCCCCCAGCAACCCATGTAGAGGCCCTGGTATTTAGGATTTAGTTATCTTCTATAATCTAAACTTCGTAGCCTTGAGCAGAGGCAAGCCTCCTGCTCACTCTGTGGCTGCAGCCATTTTTGTTGGGATTTATTTATCTTTTATAATTAAAAGTTTGTAGCCTTAAGCAGAGGCCAAGGCAGGCCAGGGCAGGCATAAAG